TTATGATAGTTTGTAGCTTAATTGACTGTATTTGAAATAGTTTGAGCTGCAGTTCAGTTGCTGGCAGTTCAATAGGAAATCAGCTGGAAGCATCCAGTTAATGTTGAATTTATCAGTATATATTGTAATAAATATTTGAGAAATTATTGTTGTATCTGATTGTATGAGTCTAGAGTGACAGTCGATGTAAAAGGAGCAAATGGGAGAAGCAGATGAACACAAAACAGCAGAACAACATGAAGTTAAAGAGATGTGCTTGTGTGTTTGAAACACTTCGGCTACCTTATATGTTAACTTCTCAGTTATTATCTCAATTAATGCTATGGACAATTAAGTAGTCACTGGATATTGGTAGGGACATGTCACTAGCGTCCCTACTAAATTCTACACCCTTGATATATGCATATATACCTAACTGGCCATTTTAGATATCGATATGAAGATAAATATATTAGCACCATTTGTGGTTTGCTTTTGGGATCTGATAGAGCATTTGGACCCAGGAATGGTTACGCATCATGTCAAGCATATAGTGTTATCATTATAGTTATCGTTAAAGCTATCGTTCTTGTTATGAATGGCCATTTAGTGGCCCAAGATAGGTAAATGTTCCCTCTAGCTTCTATTATCGCCTTAAATGACTCCTCAACCGTAATAACCTCAGTCAGTCGATCCTATCGTCTTTTGTTCGGCCCAGTATGAAGGTCACTTTCAGCTTCCCGTGTTTCCATGCTCCGTCAGAGGTGTGAAAGCCGCCGGCCACACGACCGGCTTCAACCCACCCGCGGTGTCAGAGCGCGTTTCCCCACAGCGAGCAAAGAGCCCAGAGAGGGCTTTGACATGATCGGATGAACTTGTTTTTTTTCTTTCTTTCTTTTATTCATTCAGAGATTCAAACTCAGCTCCAAATGCTGGAGACGCAAAGGATTGCGATGCATTGTGCATTGTGATGCATTGTGATGCAAAGGCTGTTCTAAAAGTAAATAGCATAATTATTCTGCCCTATTTTGGCTCGTTTTTAAGGCCCAAAAAACATGAAAACAAAAAGGTTTTTATCTACATTTTACAAGAAAATATTATTTCAGTCATTCAAAAATGTCACGATTATTTCAATGTCTCTTGCTAATGTCTCTTGCTCTTTGTAATTAATTGTGAAATTTACTATAAAAAAATGTCCTGGATCTTCCAAGCTTTATAATGGCAGTGAATGGGTGTCAAGATTTTGAAGCCCCAAAAAATGCGTCCATCCATCATGAAAAGTTAATAAAGGCCTTCTGAAGCGAAGCGATGCGTTTGTGTAAGAAAAAAAAAACATATTTAAACCTTTATAAACCAGGTGTCTCAAAATTCGGTCCTGGAGGGCCGGTGTCCTGCATAGTTTAGCTCCAACCCTAATTAAACACACCTGAACCAGCTAATCAAGGTCTTACTAGGCATACTAGAAACTTCCAGGCAGGTGTGTTGAAGCAATTTGGAGCTAAACTCTGCAGGACACCAAGTAGTTCAGCGTATTGTGATATTTGCTTAGCAACATGCTAACACCAAGGCAAATGGCCAAACATTTCTAAAAAACACATCACCTATTACAATGTGCACTGTAAAAAATATTTTTCAAAGATGTAAAGAAAGATTTTTGAAGTATGAAGTTGACTAGCAATTTCAGGCGACCTTGTTTCATCCACAGATGGACGGATATCAGACAGCCGGCACTCAGCTCCTATATTAGACGGAAAACTGGATGCGTTAGGACAAGTTTAACCTTGTCACAGGCTTTTACAGCACCACTATTTGAAATCCATACAAACTCTCTTATGCTATCCCAGAGCCTTCCTTACATTGGTTCCTTACGTAAGTCCTGGCTTTTGTGCGAGTCAGTGTGTGCTGAAATTTTACACCTTTGGACGGATAAATTGGCATTTAATTAGCATTACAATTGAATATTTAATGCTGGAATTATTTTTGATGACTTCTAAATTGATGTGAATGGTCGGAGAAAGCGGTTGCCATGGAAACAGCGCTGGATGTTTATTTATGAAGTGGTCCTTTGCTGTGACCTGCCTATAATATCAGCGTAACGCGGCATGCTAATTCAGAGTTACACATTCATTATGTTGAACTCGTGAGCACCTGCGCGCATCCGAACGTGCCGCCGGTCGCAGCGCTCTGCTGAAAACGAACGGGACTCACGGTTTTTATGCAGAGGAATGCAGAGTAACCTTATAACACTGGTCTCTCCAGCGGCAGCATTCATTCATTATGTAACACTCAAAACACATTTATTCCATTGCAAATCAAACAGATATATAAAGAAGCATGCAGATGAAGAGTATAAAATACCTCAAGTACACGTTTAGGTCGTATTTCATTCCAGAATCAAAGAAAAAAAAGAGTTTGCTTGAAGAAAATAAAGCATTTTTACATTGTTTACCTTTACTTTTTTTTTGTTGCATTGTGACATTAATTTCATGACACTTCAGCACTTTTTCACAATTATTTAAATTGAATAAAAACTGTTAAAAATAACTTGCTGATGCATTTATGGTAAAGAAATATATATAATTTGTATATATCTTTTTTTTCTTCTTTTTGTCATGAAAGTAATGCTGAGATGCAATTCTTAGTGGTTTTAGAAATACTTCACTTTTTTAAAAGTAAAATATTTATTTTCATTTTTATTATTACTTGATTTTTATAGTAATAATAATTAAAATATATTTTAATTTAATTAATATATTTTAAGTATAATTACATTTAATTTGAGACCTCTCACAAAGCTATAGCATAATAATAATATTCTTGTTAATAATATAAATAATAATATTTTTTAGGGGCCAAGCCCCGAACTGTTAGTCAGAAGATCATGATCTTGGTGTCTATGGATTCCTTGGGTCATGCCAAATCTGTGGATGTCGATTTTGCCAGGATCAAATGAACCGCCTGTCCGCCATTTTGAAAATTGTCATAAATTGCAATATCTTTTGACGGCATGTCCCGGAGGCACCTGAGAAGTTTGAACACAGCGCCACCTAATGTTCCAGAGATATAACGATTTTTGCAAAAACGCTTATAACTTTTGAAAATGTTGTCCAGCTTTTGTTATTACTGTATCCCTTTCATTCACTGGGTTTTGCCGAATATGATGATATTTAATTTGTCATTTTCCATCAATGTGCCTGTCCGTCATTTTGAAGTAAATGAAAAACAGTTTTTTGGCCACTCCTCCTACAAATTTGGTCCAATTTTGTCCAAAATCTGATCAGATGATCTTTATACCGAGCCGCACAGAAATAACTGAACAGATTTTTGATATTCATTACCATTCCTGAGAAATTCCTCTCTTAATTTGACCATGCCTGTGTTTGTTGACTTATGCTAGTTAGCTTAGCATGTGAATTGGTTAGTATGCTAACCAGTTTCCATTCTTTCTAATGTGGCTCTTGAGCTATCAAGTTAACCATAAGCTACATTAGCATTAAGTTAGCTTGGCATGCTAATCTGGTTAACATGCTAAGTAACTTTTTGTTGTGAGCTTGTACTAGGCACTTGACCCGGGGATTGTGGGTTTGATTCCTGCATGCTGCAGTTTTAAAGGAAAAGGCACATTCCCCCGGTTTCACAGACAAGGCTTAAGCCTAGTCCCAGACTAAAATGTAAGTCTGAGCTGTTTCAACTGAAAGAAACTTGCTCTGACTGATCTTAAAATATATCAGTGCCTTTGTTTTGTCTCAAGATGCACACCAGTAATGTTTTTTCTAAGACACGTTTATAAAAATGACTTAAATGTCCTAATTGAACTATGGCCTAATCCTGGCTTAACCTAAGCCCT